CAGCAGGGGAATAGCTGGGTCAAATGGGACCTCTAGTCCTAGTTCTTTGAGGTATCTCCATACTGATTTCCACAGTGGTTGCACAGTCTGCACTCCCATCAACAATGGAGAAAGGTTCCTTTCTCCCTACACCCCCACCAGCATTTGTTATTGGTTGATTTCCTGATAGCAGCCATTCTTTCTGGGCTGAGGTGGAATCTCAGTGTTGTTGAAAACACTATCTTTTTCTCTGCTCTTGAGTTGAGTTTATGTTCTATAAAATGTTAATGTTAAATAATCTTTCAAAAATCAGTGGACCAGGGGCCGGGGATTTAGCTCAGTGGTTCCACCATCTGCCTTGCAAGCGCAAGGTCCCAAGTTTGATCCCTGGTACCAAAAAAAGCAAAACAAGAAATCAGTGGACCATATATGTATGGTTCTATTTCTAGATTCCCTGTTTTATTCCATTGATCTATATGTCTTCCTTTAGAGGAAGTCTTAAAATTAGGTAATAAATGTCTTCCAACACTAAAAAAAAAAAAAGTACTACATACATGTGCCAACTCCCCACGATGAATGTAATCATTATGTACTGCAAATATGTACTAATAAAACTTTTTAAAAAGCTTATGGGCACCATTATTACTTTGGACAATAATTACCACTGCTAATAAATAACCGGCTTTAAAAATTGTTTTACTTTTTATTAGTAGGGAGAAAGGTTTAATGAACATTTTATTTAACAATTATCAATGTTTTCTCATATTTGCTTCATTAACTCTCATTTTGCTAAAGTAACTAAAATAACACATGACATTTAATCCCAAATACTTTGATAAACATTTCAAAAATGAGGACATTTTTCTTCATAGCCACAGTATCATCTAACAAAATTTAAAATAATACCATATGATACCCAGGCTTTAATCACGCTTCTCCATTTTATCCTCAATATGTTTTTTTTTAATCTTCTTTTTTTTGGGTACCAGGAATCGAACTTGGGACCTTGCGCTTGCAAGGCAGGCGCCGGAATCACTGAGCTGAATACCCAGTCCCCCCAATATGTTTTTAAGGTGGTTGAACAGTTTTGATTCACTTTTATTGTGGGGGAAAAAAAAGTGGTCTCACTACATAGTACAGGCTGGCCTAGAACTAGCTAGCTTTTGAACCTCAAATTTGTGATCCTTCTACCTCTGCCTCCTGAATGCTAGGATTATAGGTGTGAGCCAATACACCTGGCCCCCATTCACTTTAAATATTTATTTACCTGTCCAGCTGCTTAATGGCTATTCAATATTTACTGAGAGTCAGTATTGAAGTAAGGGTAAACCCTGGAATCAGAAGACTAGGGTTCGAGTTCTAGTTTCACTACTGTTTTTTATTTTTGTTGGTACTGGGGATTGAATCCAGTGCTTTGCACTGAGCTACCCCACCCTCTTTGAGACAGGGTCTTGCTAAACTGCCCAGGCTGGGCTTGAAGTTGCTATTTTCCTAAGTGCTGGGATTACAAACATGCACCACTACCCCCAGCTTTCACTGCTTATAAGCCATAGGAACCTGAGCCAATTACCCAACTTCCCTGGTTACTGCTTTCCTAATCTGGAAGAAGCAAATACTATCTTCCTCACAGAGCTGTGATGACAATTAAATATATCAATATCTGTCAGACTTGTAAATAGAGTATGGTGCAGTAGTAGTTTAAATGTGTCATCCATTACTAGTTCTCTTAGTTTTTTCTGGCTGCTAAAACAAAATACCTTACAGTGGGAAGGTTTAAACCACAGTTTACTATTTATAGTTCTAGAGCTTTGGAAGTACAAAATCAAGGCCCTAGCAAGTTCAATTCTGGAGAGGGCCCACCTTCTAGGTCACATATGGCACTGTTAGCTGTGCCCTCATGTGGTGGAAGAGGCAAGGCAGAATTATAAGGCTCTTTTATAAGGGCACTAATCCCAACCCTGAGGGCTCCTGACACATACCTAATCATCCTTCAAAGGTCCCACCTCCTAATACCATCACCTTAGAGAACGATGGAGGGGAAATAAACATTCAGACCATAGCAGTAACAGTGCAGGAAGTTACAATCATTACTGCTGGTGAGACATCTTAGGTCTCAGCGTCGTGTAAACACTAGTAATAGTTGTGAAACAAAGAGGCCCTCATTAGGACAACTGCTGCAGCAGCAATTACTGTAATCATAAAATGCCTACTAAGAGCCAGGTACTATGCTGTGTCTTTTATATACTATGAAAATGTTAACATCACAGGCCTGAGACTATCTTTAGAAAGGTCTTCTTGTAAGCTTGGTCCTGAGCTGGCCTCTGGGAACTGCAATTTTTTGAGGGTTCCCACTATTTCTAATAAGAATGAATGATTTTTGCAGGTATGGTGGCTCACTACTGTAATCTCAGCTCTCATTTTCTTGTGGAGTCTGGAATCAGGGCACATATTAGGCAGAAGACGTCAGCATCTCCAGCTCCCAGTTAAGAATCCCAGACACTAAGTCTTTAACGAGCTTCCAATTATACATGTGTTATCACGCTTCATTGCTGGGGGAATGAAGCATGTCCTAAGTAACATCACAGGAGTTGGAGCTTGTGCCTAGTTTCCTCCAAGCTTTACCTCATGCACTTTTCTCTTTGTGGGCTATATTTTGCATCTTTTCACTGAAATAAATGATAGTGACTGAAATTATATGCTGAATTTTGGGAGTTCTTGTAGTGAATAACTGATCCTGGTGTGACACGCACATTTTTTTTTACTGGGGACTGAACTTGGGTCCTTGCGCTTGCGCAGCAGGCAGCAAAACCACTGAGCTAAATCCCCAGCCCTACACACACATTTTAATAAAGACAGATACAGTTCCTATCCCTACTTTATAGTTGTGGAAACTAAGGCATGGAAAAATAAGGAATTAGTGCAAAGTCACACAATAATGATCCTGGTCTGACCCTATAACCTGATTGAGTTTCTAAGGGCTTTACTTCATTGCCCCTCAGAAAATTCCCATTTCCAGTGGGAGAGACCACCAGCTAGTTGTCACTACTAATGCAGCACACAGGCTAACAGAGGTGAGCAGGAGACAAAGCACTGCCCTCAGTGAGAAGGGGTAAAGACTGGGAGGCTGGTGAGAACAGCCAGGGATTTAGTTCAGTGGTTCTGGCGCCTGGCTTGCAAGTGTAAGGTCCCGAGTTTGATCCCTGGTACCCCCCCAAAAAAAAGAGAACAGCCAGCTCAAGGAGGCTTCCTGGAATCTCAAGTAAGCTGAGTTCTGAAGGGTACAAGAGAGAAGGAATGCAAGCATGAAAGAGGAAGATGGCAGATATTCTAGAGAGAATAACTGCATAGGAAAACATTTGTAGGCAAGAAGTAGGGCGGCCCATTCTAGGAAGTTCAATAAATTCAATCAGGCTCTAAGTACAGGATATAAGAAAATTAAGTGAGATGAGGCTGGGCAGGTAAGCTATGAGAAGATCATCACACTATGAGTTTATCATCACACTATAATGAGCTTGCACACCATCCTGAAAATGACAAGGAAGCCACTGAGTTTTAAATACCGAGAAACAAGAACAGATCTGCTTTTAGAAATATCATTTTGGAGAGCTATTGGAGGTAGGGAGCAGAGAAACTACCACATTTGTCCATGAGAGCAAGGCAGCAGGAGCAGAGGTGTGGCAATGGACTCATTAAAACCATATATGCTTGAAGAGTCCATCAGCTGAAGCTCTTTATAGACCACGTATAAATGTGGAATCAGACTGTTGAACACACACAGTCCTGGAGCTCCCAGGATCTCTGCCATTCTTGTTGAACTTGAACTTTTTTTTCTATCTGGTTTCAAAAGACATAAAATCATAGAGTATAATTTGCTGGAGTATTAGTATTATTTAGTGTCATTTGGATTTGGAGAAATGTCAATTTAATTATGACTGTGTAATAAAATTTTTATTAAAACTGCAGAGAGAGAGAGACAGAGAGCCATAAATAAGATAGAAGTATTAAGCTGGGTATGGTGCTGCATACCTACAATCCGGCTATGTAGGAGGCTGAGGCAGGAGGGTCACAAGTTTGAGGCCAGCGTGGGCAACTCAGCAAGTCCCTGTTTCAAAGTAGAATATAAAAGGGCTGGGGATGTAGTTTAGCACTTTTGACTGATTAGACCCCAAGAAGTTAAAGGAAGGAAGGGTTTTAAAAGCCTCTAATGGTTTTGGCTGATGACTTGGGAAGATGAAGATGCAACTGGGAGATGGAGTTACTGAATTCAATGTTATTCATTTAGAATCTGAGATGCTATAGGGAAGGCATGTGTTTGGAGAAGCACATACACTTGGATATAAGGGTCTGGAGACAGGGAGTGAGGGTCAGATCTGCTTTCCCTTCTCCTGTAGAACTCAACATGAAAATGATATCCTTCTGTTTGGTGATCAAAGGTTCACTTATATTTCCTGTTAAATATACAAGCCAAGAGAATCTAGATCTTGTCATCTTACTGCTCCACCCCAATAACCTAATAGCTTCTGCCATGTAATATGACCTGGGATTTAAATAGTGAAAGCAAGGAGGAGGAAAAGGAGTCTTCTGACCATGGAAACGACTCAAATGTCTACCACCAGCAGGAGACAGAGACAAACTATGGCCTTTTCAAATGCTGGAATCTTATACAACAGTAAAAATAAATAAACCACAACTTCATGCAACACACATGCTTTCTGGAAACATGCTGAGTTAAAAAAATTATGTCTAAGACGACTAAGACAATTTCTGTAAAGTTCAAATATAAGCAATATTAAACAGTAAACTGTTTGTAAATGCAACATATTTGTTAAAAATGTTTTAAAATTCAAGGGAATGATGAGTATAAAATGTATGATAGTGGTTATCTGGGGGGGGAATTGTTTTAAGTGGCTCCAGCAATATTGATAATGTTCTATTTCTTTGGGTGGGTGCCAAATTTACTTTATGCTTTAGACTTCACATATACATTACATATATATATATAATTATTACAAATGACTTTTTTTTTTTTGGTACCGGGGATCAAACTTGGGACCTTGCACTTGCGAGGCAGACACCAGAACCACTGAGCTAAATCCCCAGCCCACAAATGACTTTTTTTTAGGTACCGGGGGTCGAACTTGGGTCCTTGCGCTTGTATAGCAGGTGGCGAAACCACTGAGCTAAATCACTGCCCCCCACAAATGACTTTTAAAGTCTCTAAGTTATAAAGATGCTACTGTATGCCAAAGGCATATTTTAATCCTTAAAATGATACTTCTCTACTACAGCAGGATTCTCATTTTTAAAAATCTTTCCAAACACAAAGATACTCTACAAACAAGGTGACATACTTTAGTTATTGGTGCCATCCATGAGTTTGTCCAATAAAACTGTGCATTTGGTTAACACACCACAAATCACAGACCTTAAAAAGTAACAATGACTTAAAATACATGTGCCTAGAGAAAAAATAAGCCCAGACATTTGAAAGACTGAAATGTAAAAGAAGATCCACAAGCTATATAGATGGAGAACAGTATAGAAGACAATGTCCAGAATATGAGAAGAGATTCACAAGAAAAAAAAAAGTACTGTAAGTATTAACAAACCAAACATTAACAAGAAGGCACCCTGAAGTATAGAAGTGGATGTGAAGGGTCTTGTCATGTTATAAGCTACAAAAGGCATAAAATGATCATACAATTTAAAAATATTTATTGAAAAGATTCCCTGCAACATTACTTAAAATAATACACTGAGGGCTGGGGATTTAACTCAGTGGTTTCGCCGCCTGCTGTGCAAGTGCAAGGGCCCAAGTTTGATCCCCGGTACCAAAAAACAAAACAAAACACTGAGACTGTCAAATATTCAAAGCTGGAGAGGATACTTACAAAATCATCTCCTGAGTCAGCTCCCATAGACGCCACAGATTCCTTGCTCACCGACCGAGGGATCCTAGTAGCACCTCCTGGCCTCTGAGCCACAGCAGTTTCTTCTGCAATTTTCTTTTTTAATTTTGCGAACATTTTTGCTGTGTGGCTATCTGGCACAGATGACCTTTTGAACTATTGCAGTAATCTTCACTGATTAGGATTAGACACTGGTGTCTAAAATGTTTCAGGCACCCAAGTTAGATGAATTTCCACTTAAATGTGGGCCAAGGGCTTATGGCAACACAGTATCTATGAATCAGAGGAAAGAGATAGCTCTAGGTTAAACACTGGAATGATTTCACATCTGAGTTGCTACATTAAACTTCGGGTTTCAAAATTAAGTTTTGTAATTTAAATGTATAGAATACAATTACTTAATATTTACAAAGCACTCAGGTGCTTCACTTGCATATACAGATGAGGAAATTCAGCCTCAAAGAGGTGAAGGAATCTGACAATGACTGTGTGGCTAAGTGGCAGGGCTGGCATTTGAACTCTGACTCAAAACTTTTTTTTATCACACCGCATTGGCTATTGCATATGACACACATAGTAACTTTCCAGGTTAACATTACAAAATCATAACTTAATGCTTTCAAATCCTTTCCCCAATTGTAAGTTTAGTCAGAGTTAAGGCATTTCAAACATATGTCACTCAATGTGAGGAAAAGGTATAACATTCTAATGTTCCAGATGTTTTGCAATCGGCTGCTTCCTAGAAAAAAAATTTATAACCTAGAAAAGAACAGGCAAGCCATTCAATTACAATAAACAAGTATGCATCAGTTATCTTTTAACCTTTCATAAAAATGTTGTGTGGTTCTTTCAGTTTGATAAAATTACCCCAAATCACAATTTTTCTTCAGAATCCTTGACATGGTACTTAACATGAGATTCAAAACATTTCTTCCCCCTCAATATTGAATAACAACTCCCCCAAGAGTGAAAAAAATATCTTACCCCATCAACGGTGAATAAAACAGTGATATTCTGGTTCCAGTATTAACTTTACATGTTTTGTGGAGGATACCTAAACTCTAAGTTCTACAGATGACTTCTTACCACTTCAAATCATTCGTTAAGTCTGTAAAATTCCTCAAAACTTTACTTTCAATGTCTGTAAACCTCTTACCCACCTGATTTATCTACTAGTTTTAAAACAGCCTGGATATCAGTGTATTTTGCCCTGTGTGAAGACAAAGATAAAATGGATTGGATTTTTAAAGTATAAAGCCGTCATGTTGGGTGGAAGTGACAGAAGTGAAGAAAGAGGCAGGATTAAGTGGGGAAAGAAAACTTGTCAATACCATAACTCTCAGTGGGCTATCCTCCCTCGTCCTGGTCTCCCACGAAATTTGTGATATAAGAGCTTCACTTACAGGCACAAAAAATAAAATCACTCACTGCAGGAGATGCCTAAATTCACTTCTCCATGGGAGTCCTGAACAAAGCAACTTGAATGCGATTAAGGTTTCCTCGGGCTGGTATTTCTCAGTTGATGTCCATACACATAGGCTGTTTACTTGGCCAGACTTTGGACTGTCTGGTCACAATCTTGATTCGTATTAAGACAGCCGCTGAGAAAAAGGACTGCAAAGTTGAGCAAAAGAAATGCCTAAAGTCCGGAGGTCCCCGCCAGCTGGGCAGTTTGTATCCCACCCCCTCAGACTCCCTCCAGCCACGCCCTTGCTTGGACTGTCAAAGGCGGCGGGGTCGGGGATGATCTCCAACGTCTCTCTGGACAGCAGGAAAACTGAGCCCCAGTGGGGAGGTCTGACTTATGCAAGGTCGCGCGGAGAGGATCTGGAACCCCAGGCTCCAGACTCCCAGGCCAGGGCAGCCTGCCTCCACCCCACCATCGTCCTGTCGGCATCCCGGTCCCGCCTCCCGCCTGGGGTCTTGGGCAACCTGGTCTAGACCGCTTTGGGGACAGAAGCTACCGAGAGAACCGGCGGCCTGCTCACGTTCCCCGAACCCCAGTCAGCGCACCTGCCGCTCTGCGGGCAGCCGGCAGAGCCCCGCCTCCGGAGCCTCTAGTGAGCGCCGGCCAGCGTCACCAGCCCCCACAGCAGCCCGAGAGCGAGCAGCGACCCGGAACTGCAATCCTCAGCGCGCCGGAAGTAGCTACGCGTGGTTGGCAGCCCGGGCGCATGCGTCCTGCGCGCCGCCTCGGCAACGACGCAAGCCTCCGGAGGTAGTTGGGCCAGAATTGCTGAGGGGTGCGGGTGTGGTACGGGTCCGTCGAGCCACGTCAGCGAGCGGTCGGGTCGCCCATTTTGGTCGTCCTTTTTTTTTTTTTCTTTTTAAAGTGGGTGATACAAAGTGACAGAAATGGGAGGAACTCCGTGGCAGTCGGTGCCCCAGGCTGGCGTGAGCCGTGCTAAGTAGAAATCCTGGACTGTGACCGCGTCGCCCCGCCAGGCGCCAGCCTTGCCTCCCCGTCTCTCTGCAACACTATGCAGTGGTTGGTAATCCCGAGAAAACTGGCTCCACAAACTAGAACTGGGACCTTTCAGACTAGTGTTTATTTTAATCTTTTGTGTATAGGATCTTTTGTCGATTGTTTTATATCGCAACCCAGTATACACACTTGCACGACTCTTTCCAGACCCTTACCCTGGTCATATAACGCACCCTGATACACTGCCATTTAAAACCACGATGGTGGCAGCCCACTACATTAACTACCCACCAGTGGGCCACCTCCATATAACGAAGAGGAAAAAACTGTCTTGTTCAGTCACACTGCAAGTTAATAACCTAAGTCAGATCTCGGGGCTCCTCAATCCCAAGCCACGCATTCTGTTTTAAAGAACTTAACTTCTTGCCCCACACCCAGCAGCAGCACAAGGGCCAGCTGATTCCATCTGATTGTTCAACAACCTCTCCCTCGGAGCGTCCCAGTTCTGACCACTAGGGGGAGGGCAAGGAAAAATCGAAATCAGCGGACGCACAAAAAAAGTAGAAACTAGAATAAGCACGGAATCCACAACCCCTAAGGTAGTGGAACGTATCTGAGGCATCCTCAGAAAGACACAAACCGTGACAGCTTAGCCCTTAGGTTGCCAACAATACTGAAGAAGGACCCCAACACTTTAAGCAAATAATGTTTATTTTTATATTGATGATACACTTAATATATACGTGAATTCAACATACAAAATTCATTTGCAAGAGTTCACACCTGATGAATGTAGTCACATCCCTAGAGAACATTTATCAATGGAAAAAGTTCTTTAATACACTGACAACAAAAATCAAATATTCTGTAATCTTGTTATCTTAACAAACAGCAAAACAACGTTTAACTTTCCTTCCTCTAGTATTTAAGTGCCCTCAAGGTGGTAGGCACTATGTAACAGGAAAAAAAGAAATTGGAAAGCCTACGGAATCTGCTCTGCAGAATCACAGTGTTTACTTTGAATTTCATTTAGTGAAGTAGTGAAAGGCGGCTTGCTATCTTTTATTACAAATTACATATATAAGAGCCAGATGTGATGAACTCAAGAAAATAAAATGTTTCAAGAACCTGTCAATTTCTAAAATCTATTAAGTATTAACCATAACAAAGCAGAAAGACTGCTTGAAAGGAAGAAAACAAAAAACATCCTGTTTAAGACAACGTATGGCTTAAGCAATTTAGAAACACCAACAGACAAGACTTTACAACACCACAAATGTTCAAGTGATACAATATAATTTCCCCACAATCATTGGTAATAAGTGACCCCTTCAAAATTTATTCTACTGATAACACATATAAAACGTAATGAAACCAAATGGTTTACTAACGAGAGCTGAGTTGATGAATTCTGTTCTACAGTATTAACCCGCAACACCCCAAATTTAATACAAATGAACAAGACTATGTCTCGAAGATGACAGTGATCTGTGAATAGCTAGATAGGTAACCAAGTAGCTTCATTATTTGCACGACAGATTAGCAGCACTTGGATAAGGATTGTTACATGAAAATCACTGTGCTTCAATCTCTTGAAGAGAGCTAAAAAATATAACTTTATAGTCCCTATCGTGTTACAATTCTATAACATTTGTTACAGATAAGCACAATTTTTAAAAAGTATTTCACACTAAAAGTAATTATATCCTCTAAATGTAATTTCTGCTATGATTTAAACAAGTGCATTTCTGCCTAATAGTCATAATGTAGACAATAGATTCATCATTATTTTCAGGGGAAAAAAGAATCAACTTATTTTAATTCCTTTTTGACTAAATGAACTTCATAACACTCTGAATAAAGAAAAATAATATTCAACCTTACAATGGTAATGCTTCAGAGAAAATCATAGGGGCCTGAAATTAGAAAAATCTTTGGAGCAAAGTAAAAAGTGATTTATAACTGCTTTATCTGACTCGATTAATGCAAGCGCTATTTATAATGGAGCTACACAAAGAAGATAACCTATTTGGACAAATTTCTTCATGTGTAAGCTCTACAGTGAAAATGTTAGGACACTGTACCTTCCTTTCCTATTACCTAAGACCTTCAACTGGAAGAATGCTGCAAAGTATAGGACTCTCAGTTGAACAGCAAGGTCTATTAAAAACAAAAAACAGGGCCGGGGATTTAGCTCAGTGGTTCCGCCGCCTGCCTTGCATGTGGCAAGGTCCTGAGTTAGATCCCCAGTACCAACCCCCCCCCCCAAAAAAAAACCAAAAACAGTTGGAAAACTAGTGATATGGTTTACTTGGCAAAAGGAATGCATTCAGAAAACTATAAGAACACATAAAACTCAAGTACTAAATTATTATTATTATTATTTATTTTTTTGGTGCCAGAGATCGAACTCAGGTCCTTGTGCTTGCGAAGCATGCAGCGGAACCACTGAGCTAAATCCCCAGTCCCAAGTACTAAATTATTTTACTGAACTATTAGGAGGTCATTTTAATAATGCTACAATAAATGAAAGTTTAAAGACAACCCATTCTTCAGGAAATATTCTAAAAATTCTTATTGTGCTACTGTAAGCAATTTTTCCTGCATATTTTTAATTTAGAAAAAAATAGCATGCAAAGGAAGGTAGGAACATGATTTTGAAAAAATACAGTGGTTATTTCTCCATGGTTTGGAAATAATTACTTGGGGATTATTATATATCATTTAATATTTTACAATGGTTATTCATACTGCCTTGATGTCTGAGAAAATTTATGGTTTGAACTGTAATATTTACAAATCCCAACTTTGATCAGAGACAAATGGATATTCACAACAGTTTCAAATGAGAAAATATTAGTGATATACATAAAAATTTAAATACCTTTCACTGCAGACTTTTAAGAAGGCTAGCCTTAATTATTTCTTACCTCATTCTGAAAGTGATAACTTGGCCTATAACTTTCATTCCATAAGCCTATGAGAAAAGTAAAAACATGAAACCTGAAATTACCAATGTCTTTGCAACAACATTACACCTAAATAAGATGATTGTCTTAGGATACAGACTAGAATTGTCCACTAAAAGAGGAAAATATTCCCAATGTGTAGTCTGTTCTATGATCAAATTCAGGCTTGACTAAGTGAATATGTAATATAATGTACTTCAAACTATTAGAAAACTCTGAATCTACTGTTCAGTTGTTTTCTAAAACATCACACCTAAAGTGGTCTGATAACTGATTTCAAAAATCACAAAAGAAATTGACACAAATATTTTAAAATTAAAAAATGGTGGGGCCGGGGATTTAGCTCAGTGGTTCTGTCACCTGCTTTGCAAGCTCAAGGTCCCAAGTTCGATCCCTGGTACCAAAAAAAAAAAAAAGAAAAGAAAAAAAGAAAAGAAATGGTGCATCAGTGATTAAGTGACAATATTATGTAAAAATGGAATTCTTCTCAAAAGTCAATATTACACCAAAGTAATAAGTGAAAAATACCATTAGCTTAAGTAAACATTTTATATTTACAAAAATCCAAAGAAAATAGTTCTATGATACTAGCAAATTAGTTATAAATTTCATACATTTATCTTCACCTAATTAAGTGCATATCCTCCTATATCTTCCTGTTATCTTTCCTGTCAATAGGTCATTGCTTTCATTCACAGATCATATTCCTTTAAATACAAGGTATGCTTAAATAAGATTTTGTGTTCAAAACTCAGTGAACCTGGGACAGTATGTTTTAAAATTCTAATTTAGAGAAAATGAATTACTTTTTATTTTCTTTTAGAAAGTAAACTGATGGGCTGGGGATTTAGCTCAGTGGCACCACACCTGCCTTGCAAGTGCAAGGTCCTGAAGTTGATTCCCGGTACCACACACAAAAAAAGTAAACTGGTCCCAGTATCCAGGAAAGTTTGGGAGTCCTGGCACAAAATAGTTTCACTGTGTAAGAGTACCAATGAATGGGAGGCCAGGGTTTGGTTTTCTCAGCAATTTCTATTGTATTCAACTGCAGACTTACTATCTTTACAATCATTGGAGTCAAAGATCATATCCAGTGTCAGTCTTATCTACTGCACACTTTATTGCTGCTACTCTCCTCAAATTAATGTCCACACCAATGTGGTCCACACCTGAGTTAGTTCCACGAGATAGCATAATATCTGCTCTGCTACTCTACAACAGCAAAAAATGATTTGGTTACTAAAACGACAGAACATCATACCCTATGGACATTTTCAGTGAGTTCTATGAAATAATAATTACATTTTAATATTTAAGAAAAAGCCTATAATGATTTTAGACTTAACGCTATACAGTAATTGAAAAGTATTACTAGTTGGCTGTTTTATTAAAAATACAATGGAGCAGCAAATGTAACAACTTGGGGGTGGTAATATTGACTCCTGAACTCATTTCTCACTTTGTTTTACAATAATTTAATGTTGGATCAGATAGATTTAATCAGAAGAATGGGGTAAAAAGCTGCTTTGCAGTTAAATTTTATCATGCAAAAATAACCTCTACATACTTTCTGCAGTGAATGTACTAAGTGTATTATTAAACATCTCTTACATTCATTCATGCAAATATACTTGTTAACTGTAGACAAGAGTAGCCAAACATAGATGCTCTGTAATATCCCATAGAATCACAATTGGCACTGCACATATTTTCTATAATTGTATCCTCCCCAA